ATTAAATGTACACCCGAAAGGCAGTACGTCTAGCACATGGTCAGTTTACTAGCTCATGCGGATTGGTGTCCTGGATCTTAGCAGGGAGAAGGGCGTAACCCAACTCCCACCCAGCCGTCGCCACGAGGAGGCGTCCAGGACAGGAGCCCATGGCACAACGGTAGCAGAAGTGGGTAGACCATCTGTCAAGATCTAATCACCACCAGCCTCAGCACACCACAGGCTCTCCCGCGTCCACTTCCTCTTGGTTTGATTTGCTGTCAAATTCTTTATGAACTTAGAACTTTTTACACAGACCATCCCATAACAATGATTTATCACGAGATAAAAGCGAGTGCTTGACATGTCTCGTAGGATGGTAGCGGTGAATAGGATGCAATTAAAATATGTGTGGGTCATCTATCGAACGTCTGCCGAGATGAATACTTTGATAATTAACATCAGTGTGAAATGAAAAAGAAATATCGCGCGTAAACATTCAGAAAGACACTGTGGTGCAGTGATAGTTGAGGTAAGGAGTGAGAAAATAAAATATGGTCGCTCACTTAGGTCCATTTGATACATAACTCCGGTTGAAAAGCATGCTTGGCGTAATCCACAATACAGGAGTTTAGGTAACAAACTAATGGAAGCTAAGAGCAACATCTAATCGTTTTTTGAAAACATCCGAGGTAGGAGAGGATACCACTGAGTCTGAGAGTGCGTTCCATGGTTTGCAAACTCGAAGGGAAAAGTAATTCCGTCGACACTCTAGACGGCTATATTGTTCCTTCAACTTTAAGCGGTTACCCCTGAGCTGCGTGTTGTGGCTAAGTTTCAGCAAATGGCGGCATACGTGGTTGGGGTCACTCAATATTTGATACGCTAATATGAGATCGCCGCGCAGCCTTCGATAGCGTCCGCTGAAAATTCCCAGCAACTTCAGCCTTCGGTGGTAAGAGTGATACCGCAGGCCCATCACGTTCTTTGTTGCTCTCCGTTGTGGTGCCTCTACCGCTTCTAGGTCGCGTTTCAACCAAGGTTGCCAAGCTTGGATTGCGTACTCAACTTGCGGGCGCACGTAGGAATTGAGCATCATTGGGAAGATTGATGGGTCAAATCTCCCGAATGCCCTTCGCAGCATGCCGACGTGCTGGTTGCCTCTTTTGGCAGCTACCTCAGCCTGTTTTGAACAGTTGAGGTCGCTCTGTACGATCACACCAAGATCACGTTCCTGGGAGCTATTCTGCAATTCCTTTGTCCCAAGTATGTAGGTGTAGTTATGTCTATGGCGTAATTGTACTACGCGACATTTGTCTACGTTGAACGGTAGAGCGTTTTGAACTGACCAGTTCGACACTGTGTTAAGATCGTGCTGGAGCCGTTCATGGTCATCCGGTCCTCTGATCCTTCGCCATATCTTGATATCATCAGCGAAAAATAAGAAATCGGAAGTAACTGATCTCGCCAAATCGTTAATGAAAACCAAGAATAGACGAGGTCCAAGAACCGAGCCTTGTGGTACTCCACACGTCACGTCGATTGCATGAGAAAATGATTCTCGGACTCTCAATCCTAGCCGTCGTTCTTGTAGAAAATTGCTAATCCAACTCAGGATTGGATCGCCAATGCCGTAGTTCCGAAGCTTCTGAAGGAGAACTCGATGGTCTAAACGATCAAACGCTTTTGAAAAGTCCAGGTAGATGACATCGACTCCAACTCCATCATCAACAGCTTCAGTCCAGCTATTACGTGCAATTAATAGGTTAGTGTTACACGAATGCTTTTGACGAAAGCCATGTTGCTCTGGGGCTATTAAATTGTGGCTTTCCAAGCATTGCATCAGCGCGTCTGCGACGATTGATTCCATCACTTTGGATAGTACGGGAAGTAATGTTATTGGACGGTAGTTTGCAGGATCAGTGCGGCTACCTCCTTTATGGATAGGAGTGATGACCCCTTGCTTCCATACTGGTGGAATAAGGTTTTCCTCTAGACATCGCTGATAGAAAACAGCCAGTGGTTCTGCTAGATCACTAGCTACTGCCTGTAGAGCCTTTGGACGGATGTTATCAGCTCCGGGAGAACTGTGGATACGCAAGGATAACAACTTCTTCAACACAGCCTCCGTAGTGAAGGTGATGTTTTCTAAACCAGATGGTGGAGTATTAGAAATGAGGTGAATGTTTGGGCTCGACACTTGTTGGAACGTTTGAGAGTAATGAAGCCGTAGGAGATCAGCTGCTTCCATTGCTGACCACGTGTATCCATCAGCTGTGACTAGCGCCGGAACCCCTCGCTTTACCTTTCGAAGGCCGTTAATGTGCCTATACAGGAGTTTGTGGTTAGTGCAGAATCGCTTCATTAACTTCTGCTGGTGCGTGACCTTGTCCTCGCGGATCAGTTTCACACAGAAGTTACGATGTCTCACGTATGCAGTCCAGGTTTCGGCATTCGGGCAACCCTGGTGATTTCGCCATGCCAAATCCCTCCGGGACATACATTTACGTGTTCTGCTCCTCAGAATTGACTTACTCTGGTTTTTGGGTTGGAAGGACTTCTGTTCTGATGCTTGCGCTACCAGTGTGCTCAAAGTCCTTGTAAATATATCCCAGGCCAAATCTGGGGGCATTCGAATAAGAAAGTCCAAGATGTATCCTTAACAAGCTTGGACAACACATTGTAGTGCGTGACAGTGTGCACTTTATCCTCCTGCTTTTCCGGGTACTCGGCATAGCATATATAATCAAAGAGTAGAGTGACATGATCACTACGACCCAGTGGTGTGCTTGTAACTATCCCGCCATCCATGAGTTCTTCGTTAGTTAGCACAAGATCTAGTATCGACGGCTTGTTAGAAGTTCGAAATCTGGTGGGAGAGGTTACGTGGTTGTAAATAGGGTGGATAGCAATAAGTTCTTGCAAACAGGCTTTAAACTGCGTACCGTCAGTTGCCGGCGTTTCTATGTCGTGCACGTTAAAGTCTCCCGCGATAAGAATGTGGGTGTAGGACTTGTTCAAAGCAAACTGAAAAACGTGGTACAGTTTGGAGTCCATTTCCGTAGTTGAGTTTAGCGGGCGATAGACCACGGCTAGTAGACATTTGTCCTTGTTTCGCAACCAAAGGCGGCACCAAAGCGAATCGGGAGCTCGGATTTCTGGGTGATCGATAACTTCACATCGGAGGCTTGTATTATAGTAAAGAATCACACCGCCACCCATTCCGGTTCTATCGGTCCGAAGCAGCGACATACCGGGTAACTTGATCTCATAGTCGGTTATCTCAGGGTTTAACCATGTCTCTGTAATCATGACGAGGTCTCGTGGTTGTGAGGCATGGAGTTCTCTAAGTTCGGCTAACTTGCTTCGAAGGCCTTGAGCGTTTGTGTACATGCAAGATAGGGCTTTTGTGGTTAGGAGTTCATTGGTGGATGTCAAGTTTGTGTTCGCTTTTAAGCCGGCCGTTAGGTGGCCGGCAATTAATCGTTTTTTGGTTTGTGTATTTAGTCGTGTTACATGACATTATTGAACGTTCCTGAACTGATGGTTCACTCGTGCTGTGCTCGGTCCTCCTGTGTGACGTGGGCGCTGTTGTGTCGATCTCTCCGAAGGACTGTGCAAATAAAGAACTTGCAGGATTCGCAAGTTCCATCGAATTTCTTCCGACTTTTGGTCGTTTGCCTGCTGCCTTTAGCCGTATTTCTGTTGGCAACCTAGCTCGAAACTTTAACCAGCTATCCAACAGAACTTGCGTCATTCCCTCAGAGTGTAGTATTACCTTCATTAGCCTAGGACCGCAGCCCTTGTAGTTAGGTGACAACGGAACTCTTGTTAGGGATTTGGCAATAACATTGTTAACACAGAGTGCTTCGCGGATGTAGCACCACTGTTCTCGGTCATGTGTATGTGCATCGTGATCAAAAGCATGCAGGAGCTCAGGAACACCATGAACAAATATTGTTTTCTTGCTATCCCTAGTAGCAATACCGCGTTGTTCCACTGCTTCTTTTGTGCGGTCTTTCCAAGGTAGAAGCTATCAAGTCTTCACATTTACCGTCTTCACTTACCGTCTTTAGTTTTACTGTTGCTTCGGTAACTTTACCTAATGTGTCCAGACGAGGACGAAACCCGTCGTGCGCTGTCAGCTTTGGGATGAGGAAAATCGAAACCTTTCACCCGAGAACTAGTTGCATGTATGAATTTTGCTTATACTGTTTCTCCACCCCTCAGAAGACACCCAATAATTGAAATTACGTACGTTCGAACTGTACAGGGCACTGCTGCTCCTGATGGGTGGGTACGTAATTGCAGTGCACATTGACCGGCAAATAACATGGTTGACAACGCAATGTTAACCGGTCGCATGCCGTCACTTTTGAACGGGGAAATTTGCCTTCGATATTGGTAGACAGATATGCGATTATTATGTACCAATAGAGTAATGAACTATTTATAAATCAATGCGCGCACCGAACTTGTACTCAGGTTGCCGAGCTCGGAAAGCACATGAACGATTGAATAGTCAAACCAAATCATAGATATTCCGGATAATTTTGAGCGATAAACTACCTAAACATCTACATCTAAAGCATCCACATTGTCTAGCTAATCGAAAGGACTTCACAGCTTTTCGATGCTTAAGTAGATCAACTTTACCAAACGCTAAGAAAAAGGACTGTTTTCGGTGTACCTAGAAAAGTAGCTTGTAAATCCTCATGGAATCTTCGACGCATACTCTCATAGTAACCAGTTAGCTTTTTGAGCAGTACACGGTCGTAGACCGGAACAGTTTCACTTCATACGGGGTTGACGCAAAGTTTTAAACCCCGCATTTTAGGCTGCGATACGTGCGTTTCGTCGCTATTTGTTCTACTGAGCCAGGCGCATCGAATTTACTAACTCTAATGCCTCTGTTTCAGTAATATCCTACTTACCCTAAAACTATATGAAATGAGTTTGTAGATGGTCAACTGGTATTGTTTTGTTTTCTGCTTCTCTCTAACCTTCCTGTCTGCTTTTAGAAATCAAATCACATTGGAGAAATGTGCTTAAACAAGAGGAACTAAACTATTGTCCGCTGATTGTCCACATAAACAACTACACGAACAGCAACAGCAACAAAGCGGGATTCCGCTGTTTTTCATTGCAAGTTCTATGGTCCCATCTTGTTCATTAGCTTACTATGGGTGACCGACGCAAGTCAACTACGCGGAAACTCCGCTGCAGCGCCCCCGTAATCGAAGTTCCCACTGAAAGCGGCTCAGTTACCGTTCCCTGTCACATGCCACAAATCGAGAGTTCTATAACTATATCAGTGCAACCGACCTATACGCTGTTGATTATGGAGTTGGATAGAAGAAGCATTCCGGAATCTGTGTACACCTACTATGAAGCTGATGACGGAATGCTTCACGTTGTATACGATAGGATCTTTGTCGTTGAATCCCTGGCGAAGCTTGGCAGTCAGATGCTCACCGGTGCACAGCACACGGCTGAGACTAGTGACTGTTACTACGAGGTGACCACGCACATCGCGCATACTTTTCGTTTCTCAAAGCAAGCCTATCTACTTATGTCTGCTCGGGTAAGACAGAATTGTAGAACTGTTTTAATAACTGTGGCTCATGCCACGGAGGAGCGCACACGAAGTGAATCATCTGAAGAGGTTGAATGAAAACCCTGATTCTGAGAATAAATTTCCTGCAATACATCCTACCTGCTTTGTTGAAGCGTTTTCATTTGTTTAACCACAACCTTGTTAGTTTAATAAACGTCTGCAATATGGGCTGGTACATTATAGTGACTGAGCAATGAATGTTGACTTTGTACTGGTTAAGTTCCTCAGCATCGTCAGCAATAAAATTTAACTGAGCGTGCCAAACCCACAGCTACTGTACCGGCATAAAAAGTAGTAAAATATTAAATAATCCAGAATAAACGCATAAAATGAAAGGTAACGCTAATTATCATATTTTGTACTGACTGTGAGGTCGTGGTTGCAGAGGGATGTGAAGTGTAATGGCAAGGTATCAAGAAACTAACAACAGACAGGGCATTGAGGTCGGCTTTCGTCATGTCAACAACTGTATCCAACCAAACGTATTCATCGCCTTTGGGATCGAGTTAGAGAGTCGGGAGGCACTAACGGACTCCAAGTTGGAAATTAGGTTCTTCAGTACTCATGCCGTCCTCCTCTTCCATCCAGACCCCGGGCGCGTAAAACCCGCACGTCGCGGGAGTCGGTGTGCTGACATGCGTACCACGTGACCAAGACATCGGAGCCCGGTGCGTGAGGTCATGGTGTTGAGCTGTTCGCTAGCTCTACCTGCACCAAATACCTGACGTCGAACACGCTCATTGATCACGTATTGTTTCCACCAGAGATGAGCTTAACTGAGAGGGCAGCAATGGCGGAACGTAGTAAACATTGACGTAGCAATTGTTTTTGCGGAGCGGGCGGTCTCAGGAGCTCCGCTCTTAACCAGTCGCAAATCCGTTATCCTTTACAATCGGGAACAACACTTTAATACTGCTTTTATGGAACAACACTTTGAGGTAATTTAAGAGTGCTACCGTAACTGCAGGTACTTGTATTGTTACAATACTCGTGTACAAAAGTTACAAATACTCTTCGTGCTCTACTTGCGACAAAATTACCGATACCACCATCAAAATTCAGTCAGTTGGTAAGTTCACTATCTCCTGAAGAGAACTGCAAAGTCCGTGAGCCTCGTCTGGCTCATTGATGATGGCAGTTCCCATAAGCTTGAGATTTTAGTGAGCGCTCAAAGTTGGCGTGGTTAATCGTTAGGGTAACAAGATACGCAGCAGGATCGCAATATTCGGTGCAAATTGCCCAAGTTGCTTTTCTGTGTGAAACACAAGATTTGAAAGGCATAGTTACTTTGTCGTTTCCTTAAACTCTCACAAAATTTTGCAATATCTTTAAGGTAAAGAATTTCCCTTTTTCTATATCTTTTTCAACTTCGCTGAACGGATAATCAGAGTTAATATCAAGCAGATTTGACGGTGTAGGGAAAGCGTATTTGTTTGCATGGTCATGAATTTGCTGAAACCTATGACACATTGTGTTAGTCAACCCAACTATGACAGATAACATTCAACAAGGCATCAAATGTTTTGGAGGATTTGACGCTTCATGTTAATCTCTAATTCACGGAGGGCTACCAAGAAACCCTCACCCTGTTAAGCAGGCGCCTCTTCGTTAGTCCAACGTAAGCTGCTCCAGAGGTACAGAACAATGAGTAAATGTACATGGATTTGGCGCGGACAGACATCTTGTCTTTGGGGTTAGTTTCCACCATTGGGATACTGCCGAACTAGATTAGCTTTTTAGCTACTGTGAAACTGTGTCTAAAGACATGAGAAGGGCGAGGAGTTAGGATTTTTGCGGTGAGTTATCACTTATACGGTAGTTGTCAAACTATAGGTTTCATCCATGAGTCTGAATTTGCCGCGGATCCAGCCCTTTTTCTTGTCTTCTTTGGTCATCTTCCTATTACGGAATGTCTCGCCACTTTCCCTACAATCTCATCATGAATGAGCCTTTAAAGAAAAGTGGCGCAAATTCTGAAAAATTCAACACGTATGGGGGATTTGCATCACTCTTTAGTAAATAATGAGACAAAAACTGATAACAATAACTGTAAGCGACAAAACGTGGATGATCCACAACGCCTTATGGACAACAATGCATTACATTCATGAGTAACTGCAACGGTGAGTGGTGTGTGGCGGGAAAGTTGTGTGCAAAAGCGAGAAGGAATAATGAAAGGCAGGTGAGACTTATGGCCTATGTGTTTGGTTATAAAAAGCAATATCCTAATATTGCAAATACTCATTAATAATCAAAAATCCGCCTGCATAACTTCAAGGCACTGTGTCGTGGACGGTCGCTATGCGGAGTTCGTAGCACTGGGCCAACCCCTGTCCGCCGCACAGTTCGTAACTGGCATATTGGTGGAACAAGATTCGCGTTAAATCGTCGTCAACTGTCAGTCGTTAGATCCGCCGCTTTCACCCGTGGCTTATTGGCGTAGGCTGCTGGCATCCGGAAGTCATGGGGTAGGAACCCGGCGGGAATCCGGGGAATCCGCAACGGCTGCCTGGTGCTTTTCCAGACGCGAAAGCCTGCCTGACTGAGAGGGACTGCGAAGAAATGCAGCTGAAATTACACCTAAGTCCCTACTAATCATTAATATTGCAATAGTCAAATATCGGCTTATCTGGAAAGTTGGCAGCTAACACGCTGTGTCAAACAATTATCTGTACTAAAAGTACAACGTCTACGCTAGAGAGTCTCTGTGAATCTTTTGTATTGATGCGCCATGTTTCACGGCCGCACAGGAAGGTTGAGCTGATGGTTGCATTATAAACTCCAACCTTCAGGAAATGAATGCTGTCGCGCCGGCGACACAGGGGCTTCGAGCTTTTGCTACAGGGTCCATGACCTCATATTCTATTTCACAGGTGCTAATATGACAACATTATTATGCAAATTTCTGTACTAGTTTTAGCTGATCCCATCAAAGTTCGGCAGAGGGGAGGGTCCCTGCAAACCTTGGGGGACTTTGCATTTCGAGGGCGCAAAACATGGACCGAAACGATCCAAATCAATTGCTGATCTGTTCAAAGCAGCTTTACACCTTTGGGAACGGTCAAAGTCTAGGACAATGTCATCTGTGTACTCCAGGTCAGTAAGTCGATCACCTGGGAGTAGTTCCACACCCTGCAGGTCTTGTCCCGTGAGTGCTGTTTCCACGATCTCCACAACGGCTAAGTTAAGGAGGAAAGGTGACAGCTATCAACCTTTTTTCACGCCGTTGGAGATAGTGAATGGTGGCGCCGGTTTGCCATATACCTTCACTCTGCCAAACTACGTGCGTACGTTGCTCTTAGAACATTGACATATTTATCGGACATACCTTTCCTCAGCAGACAGTCCAAAAGAACACACCGATCTACCGATTCGAAGACACCTCTTATGTCGAGGGACACGATTACGGTGTGTCACCAATAAATAGGGTGGTGCTACAGTAACTGACGTAATGTGAAGATGTGGTCAGCACACCTCCGGATCCGATGAAAATGGGCAGTAGATAGAGAACAGCAGTGACACGTAACTTAAAGGCAACCGAGGTTGCGCTGATCCCACGATGTTTGCCGTATCCCGAACGTGAGCTCACCCTGCAACTCGGGAATATAAGGTAGCGGCTGCGGTCTGTTGCGACCTTTCTCCCCTTCCCACAGATTCACTAGTACGTTGTGTACATAATACATAAAAGCTGGTCCCTCGCGTTTCAAGTGGGCTAGTGAAAGTCTGTCTGCCTCTGCGGATTCATGCAATTTCGACAGTCTGATCTTACATCCGAATTCTGCATGTGAAAGTGGATCAAAGGGGACAGCGCAGGGAATGGACGATCAATGGCCGATAACGTTGCCTATAACCCTGGTTGTTTACAATGCTTTACAAAATCCTCGGTCCAAAGATCGCAACCGTTTTACAAGCAATAGATAGGATGTTCACTATCGTCTTGCTAACAACTGGTCTATTTCTGCCCGTCTCCCATATCAGACGGAATAACCTGCAGCGGTTACTAAGGCCAGCGGTTGTTTCTATCTCCGATGCACGGTGAGACAACCTGGCTTCATGGAATCTTTTCTGACTAGCACACACTCTCGGCATGTTTGCTTCCAACCGGAATGTACCGAAGAGCACACAAAAGTTCTACATTGTATTTAGCTTCAATGTGCAAGTTGGTAATTTGATTCGCCACATGAAGACAAGCTGCTAATAACTTTGGGCGGAAAGGCGACCAGTGTCCCTCAACTGTGCACAGTGGGTGTCCACTCGGCTCTGCTGCCAGCGTAATTTGATACGCATTCATAAAATCTGGCCTCGCTAGTTAGCAGGTATCTATGTGCGCACGGTGTCTATGCGGACGTCCATCGAAACTCACTGGCTGGCTGGCACATACAAGGACGTCGTCGGAGTTCACACTCGTGCTCCGAATTGAGCAGCAGTTTCGGACACAACCTTTCAAGCGGTAACAAATCGCGACGTAGTCAATTTGCATGCTAGCTGGTACCAAGCTGGTGAGCCACATATCACTCTTCCGTGGGTTATTTTTCCAATGTTAGCGCTCGCGAGAAATACACGAGCAATTTTACACAGGTATAGCCAGCTCTCACGCTTGTAGTTAAGGGAGTCTACATCGCCCTGGTCGCACCGATGCAGTCCAACTGTAGCTGGTATTCCAACCTGAGCGTTCAACTCACAAGCGAGCAATAATAGCACGTAGGTTTTTGGTTACAAAAGGTCGCATGCATTTCCTGACAGAAGTCACCATTCAGCGAGTCCGTGCTACAATTTGTGGGCGCGTATGCAGCAACGAGAAAAAGGCACCGGTTCTCCCTTTGCGACTTCAAAGATTAAAACGAGCCAGCCAACCTGATAGCTTATATTTGACAGTTCATTGGGCTCCAATCGATCAGAACATCTACATCTCTGGGACTCAGAAACGCAAAACTGGTTTGACCGGAAGCGCCGGATAAACTTATTGAGAATTTGCGACCGGTGTCGAATGTGGGGTGTCACAGTGAGCAGGCGAGTTTCCGGTAAACAGCACACGTCGAGGGATTGGTTTCCATATAGGTTCTCGGCCAAGTTGTCCTCTTGGGCAATAGAATTCAGCTGAGCGGAAACGGAGTTGCTGGGAAGGGCAAACAAGTTGAGCCGTTACTTAACTACTTTGCGTCTTGC